ACTTGGGTTAAGATGGTAGTTAGTTGGCCAACTTTTTGGGAGAATTTAGACAAAAATATAGGCACCATGGTACAGGCCATTGAGAAGCCCTTAAGTAACTCACAGCTGTTGTGCAAATAGAAGGAGCTATAATAAAAACTTATAAAAGGTGAACTTCATTTGAGAAACAACAATATATAACCTACTAGACCATATTAGATCTCTGATTAAGAGATGACGAGAGTTTAGGGAAAAGATATGAACTTTTTTTTTTCCAGACGATAGAAAACTTTACTACAAGATCAACACTCGAATTAAGTAGGCATTTGAAAGCTTCCTTTAACGAGAGATGGCAGAATAAATTAGAGTTCTTTTGAGTCCGAGACTAATTCCTTATAGAATTTAACAAGTGTTATTCGCTCTACTAACTCTAGGGGCATAACACCGCCCATCCATGTACTGGACACTCAGCGACGGCGCCCCCCCCCGAAAAAGAGGGTATTTGCCGATTCACGAGAAGCTCACTCATCTGTTTTAGAGTCCGACGGAAATGAACACCGTATCAAGATGTGTCCTTCATAGTTGCTACTCACTTTTTAAGACCTAAGTAACAATGTTAAGCTTACCACCAGTGCAACACCTAAAACTATTATTTTAATCCTCAATACAAGGAAAGCCTTGGATCCGGACCGAATTACTAATGTTATTTTTGAAAGCTTAACTCCACGAGCTATCTCTCTGTTATCCTGATTAACCTCAAAGGCCTACCACTGCCCACTTCCTGAACGGTGAAAATTAGCAGAAGTAATTTTTATTTTTAAACTAGGGCCTTCTAGTCGTTTTATTAAAGGTTATCACCCAATAAGCTTGTCGTCCTGCCGAGAAAAGGTGGGAAATAGATGCTCTCTCTAGTTTACAAAATTTATGTATAGTATGTGCGACTCGCCTATTTTTAACTTGGTTTTCTAAAAAATTACTCCACTATTTTGCCAGAAACTTAGGCTTCGGAAGAAGCTACAAAAGTTTTTAACAATAGAGAAGTAAAAGATGTGACCTTTTTAGATATTAAAAAGATTTTTGATAAAATATGGCTAGATGGTCTAGTCTCCAAAATGATATTGCCAGCTTCCCAATTTACTTAGCTGCGGTGGTACATTCATACCTAACGGATAGAACCTTCACTGTTAGAGTTCATTGAAGTCTGCTATAAGACAATTAGAGATGGTATCCTACTAAGCTCTTTACTCTCTCCTTACTTTTTTCCTATTTACAAGCTCAATATGCCACAATGGTCAAAGTTAAATATGGTCTTGTGCGCTGAGGAGAGAGCTTTATATTATAGTTCAAAATCTGCTGGACCAGTGCTTAAAAACATACAGTCTTATTAGACAGTACTAGAGGCTTAGTTTTCAGCATGAAGGTTAATAATTAACGCGTAAAAAGTAGCTTTAGGATTATGACAAGAAAAAAATATATTTTTTCCAAACCCCTAGTCTCTTATTAAACCAAACTGTCAGTCCTCGATGTAAGAAGGTAAAATATTTCGGGGTTAGGCTTAACTACAAACTAAGCTGGACTTCGCATCCTTCTTACGTCGAATTAAAAAGCAGACAAGCTACAACTGTATTAAATTCCTTATTATGCCAGAAAAGCAAATTGCATCTAAAAAACAAGTTTCAGTCATACAACTCGGTTATACACTGCTGATGGTCTCTACCTCTATTGCCAGGACCTATTCCTCACTTAAACATATTCATCCCCTACAAATATTACAAAATTGATTTCTGAGTATGGTGTTGGGCGTCCCTTGGTTTGTGCGCAACAGTCAACTACATAGAGGGTGTAACCTTGAGCCTATTCAAGTATATCTTTATAAAATTTTACGGAACTAGCTTACTAGAGCCTGTAGCCACCATAACTTACTAATTAAACAAGCTCTCTTTATTACACCAAGTATTCGCGGCCACAACATTTCGTAGGCCTATTAGAGGGGGAATATGGCCAAAATTATAAATTATTTCATTAACATTAATATATTTTTAATATTATATCACTGTACTAAAACTAAACTATTATGTTACATGTAATATTGTTTTATTTCTTTTATTTTTTATTTTTTTAATTATTATCTTTTCTTCTTTTCCTGTTATGTCTTCATTGATATATATTATTCAGCTGATAAGCTCATCCGTTGGCGTTATGTTTTGTAAAGGAAGTCGAAACTTTAGCGCCCTCAATTAGAGGTATGGAAGGTAGATTAAGCAGCAATTAATAATAATTCACGCTTGTAGTATTCCAGCGCTACAAATAAATTAAGTAAAAATAACCGTCTATTTTTTTGTTTTTTTTTTGTGTTTTAAATTTTCTTCATATTTAGATATATTTAAATTATTTCAATATTTATCCTCATTTTTTATTTCTTATTACACACCATTCTTTACATATTTTTAATTAGAGTTGTGCCCTCGAACTGTCAACTTTCAACTACACTAAAAAAAGGTAAAAACCGAAACGTTTCCTTGCGATGCATATTATGTTTGTTTACGTAAATATATCTCTTACATAAGCAACTTGAATCTGATGGAGCGCGCTAGTGGATAATAACGCCCCAACTCCTCCTGAGAAGAAAAATTTAAATTGAGTGGTTTTAAGGTCTTAAGAATACCGTTCTCAGTATGTCAATGCTAAAGGAGGGGCAGGAGAGGCGGATTTATCATTAATTTTTATACTTCTTTTTATTCAATTTTTTGACATCTTTTTTTTCATAAACTTATATTCCTCATTTATTTTTTATTTTTTCATTATTTATATTACTTACTCATCCATTTTTTAAAATTATTTAAACAGTCATTTTGTTTTACTAAAATAAGACTTAATTTGAAGAAGCTTATATTCAGCAAAATTGTTTACCAAAAGACTACATACTACTTTGCATGTAACCTCCGACCTGTATAGGGTCGATATATTTTATACCTCCTACTTCAGTATTAATAGCTTATAATTTTATATTTTTTAGAGCGCTTTGTTCAATCCAATCTGAGAGAAGATCGGGATGGGATAAATGTGGAAGATGTAAGAAACTGGTATAACCCAATGGAACATTAGCAAAATGCCATTTACCGCAAATAAATATGTAATAAAGACAAAAATATTTTGTAATTATTCTTTTTTTTTTCTCGTCGAGTATCGGTCTTTTGTAAATTAGAAAGTTTTTCTTAAAAATTCAAGTAACCGCCGAGTAGTCTTATTTAAAGCTTTGTTTGTTTTCATAATATTAACTAAGAGTTGGAAATACCAGATTTTAGAAGTATTTATTTATTTTATTTATGAAGTTGGCGTACTACATACAAGAATAAACGTCTTTTTTACTGCTTAATCCTTATTCCTTTGGTAGTAAAGTGTCGGAGAGTACACTCCAAAAGTGGGGAAAGGCGACCTTTTAAAGTCACCTATTGTAGAGCACATTAGTTGCATTTTTGTTTTTATTTAATTAATACGTATTATTATCATTTTATTACTTTTACTTTCATTATTAATAAAGTTATTATTAATAATATCATTGGTAATAGTAGAGAGGGAAGTATTATAAGTATTCAGTGTATCGGTTAAATCGGGTAGGGTCAACAGGCTCTTAGGCCACCTATATATGTATATCTTTGAGGATCGTAGGTTATTACCGTGGATAGCAATTCGTTAGAGTGCTAGCTTGTTCAAATTATTTTCCTGCGTTGTTTTCAATCAGTTCCCTGATAATTTCAATCTTACAGTCTCGGTGTAGTTGTAATTCCCTTGTAAACCACGGGCTTTGGTGCAAAATCGAAGAAAATTATTTCGTAGGATTGGAAGCCTGTTTAAGTGTCTCACAGAAGAGTAAATCCAAGTGAATGATGCATATGTGCGTATAGGTTTTAGCTTGCATTTATATAGAAGCATTATATTACTAAGATTTAACTTTCTCTTTTTGCATAGTGGAGGGTATAGAACAAGAGCAATATTTCTAGATTTTGTTAGTTAAGTAGTCTAAGTGAGCGTCTCACTTGAACTTGTGGTCAATAACTACTCCAAGAGATACTTAGCCTGCATGTACCAGAGGAGATCTTTGTCATATAATGGTAAGTTGCTCACCCGGCGATGTTTTCTTCTGCCGAGATCAGTAAGGCCCTGAATTTTGTCGGGTTAATTTTATTATTGGAGGCGGACCGGCTTTCAAGGAGTTCTAAGTATCATTGCATACTTTTTTTACTCAAAGGGAATGATTTAGAACTTGTACAGAGCGCAGTGTCATCAGCGTGCTGCGAAAGGGAAACAGTGTTGACCGTTGGGGTATTAGAAGTGGTTAGAAAACAGCAGAGAGGACAAAAGGGAGAACTGTGGGACACCTGCAGAAAGAGAGTACGAAATGGAGATTTGGGTCTCTATGAATTTAAATTTTCTATCTTTTAAGAAGGACTCGTTTAACTGAATCAGGTAAGAAGGAATAATTATAATTTGCTAATTTCAAACTTATTCCTTCGGTCATACGTTATAAAAGGCCCCTTCGACATTTAAAAGCACAAGAGCTAGGTTTTTTATAGTTTAACGCTTTGTTAAAGTACTCAAAATGCCTCAAAAGTTTGGAAGTATACAACAGCTAAGCCCTTTATACCTTTAAAGGGGCATTTTAATGTTTTTTTCGGTCCACCTGAGGAATTTTTTTAAAATTTTAAAACCTCTAAAGGTTTTAAAATGAACTAACTTAAAAGCTTACTTTCAACGTTTATCATAGCATTAGCACATGCCAAGCCTCATTTAATGGATTGCAAAATGTTCAATTTATTTATAGATTACTTAGGCGACAAAATGTTTTATTTTTATTAACCAATATCAACTAATATAAGCTAATATTCTTTTATAGAGCTGTTAAAATTATTTTTCTTTAATGGTTGGCCTGCCCTCATTATTAATAAAAAAAGTTGAGATGTGCAATTGTGTGTAAACCTCAGTAGCTTTTACACGGATGGTACTTCATTGTTTCATGAATATGTTAGCTTTGTAAAGTGGGTTAACTAGTATAATTTCTCGTTTGTACTATGTCTGGCAAAAGCTGCAGAAAACTCCTCGTAAACGAGATTCGGTATAATTTCGTTTTCAAGTCCTTTTTAAATTAAACTGCTTAATCTGTGCAATGTGCAATGTTTTTATTCGTAGGAAAAGAAAACTAGCAAACATATATTGCGTTTGTAGTCTTGATACGGAGTTGGATACTCTCTTTGGATTACTGGAGTCAAATAATAACATTTTAGTTAGCTCTTCAAAACCTTTTCCGTTTTACAGGCATTTTATGTACGTTGCAAGTCACTATAGTTAGAATAACATTTACAAGAATTTCTATGGAAGGGATGAGCAAAATAGATAAACTTTTCTACCTTCTGTCTACCACCTTTCTTGTCGCTGCTTGCACAGATACCTCGCTTGCTCTCCTCAGCTTTAAAGGTCTCCTTTTTATTTTCTCGGTTTTTTAATCTATTTTAAGTAATTTTTGAAACAAGTTTTAAAAATAATTATGTTTTATAATACTTCTGCTTCCCTCATATTTACTAAAAGTACTTGTATTATAAAGCTTATATTAATTTTTTTTGTGTATTATCTTTAAAACTTAAATTTACGATTCAATAAATCATTACAGGGAATGAAAAAGATATTATAAAAGTTCGTGAACATAATGATATTGTTTATTCAATATCGTCAGCGCAGTACAGTTTAACGAGTATTCTATTTATTTCATCCTCTCGAACGGTTAACAGCCTAAATTTTTTATATATCGCCACGAAAGTTTTCTGAACTGATTCGTAGTATAATTCATACATTTAGGAAAGTTGCCTTTGGCAACTCGAGTATAAAAGTGACTCTATAAAATCTTTACATATTATCATGAAGTTTACTTCCTATTCTTTGGTTAGATGAATAGTTTCACCTTTTAAAAAATTCATTTTTACTATACTAAGATGCTTTTTATTCCTGGGAAAGATGAACTTTTAACACTTTCAGCTAATATTATAAAGTTTTGGAAGTTTTCTTACAGTAATTAAAAACAACTTTTTTTTATTTCTTCAAAAGTGTATATAAAATATTACAAAAATAATTATAGAGCCACTTAGAACCCATGACTCTAGAAACTCTTTACAAAAAGAATGTTCTTCTGAGTTAAGTGACCAAAGGGACTCTCTCGTTCATCTCATGGAAAACGAGGTTAAGTTTTTTTTATTTATTTAGTTAATTTTTATGGTCTGTAGAATTTCCGGCTGCAGCCGCGCCAGTTGTTAGCTCAGTCTTCTGTGAGGTTTCTCTTTGTTACTTGCTCTGACATTTACTGCATCACAGAGTAGTTTGGTTATAACCGAAAAAACGCTATTTTCTACTGTTGTTGTTTAGAGAAAGCATTTTGGTTGTGCAACGAATTGTGGACGGAGATCTGGCGTTAGTTCTTCGCCTTCCAGCCACTCGACGAGCCAAACTTTTACACCACAGCCGCCTAGGCACTCTGGTTTGACCAGTCCTCTCTGTTGCTCAGTTTTTTTTCACGTGCTCCCTTCCAGCTGGGCCTGCTGACCCGCGCAGGTTCGCTGTGGCTGTCCAACCTGCACGGTGCCGAGGGCCAACTTGGCAGTCTTTTCGGGCATGTCATAGACTTTGACTTAAGTGGTGACGTGCTCTGCTACATAACTAGCGACGCCCAGCAAGTGTTTTGCCAACTCTCAGCGAGTGACCATCGCGCGGTTACTTTCTGTCCCGCACGTCACTCTTGCATAGCTCAAGCATGGAACTTTTAGCCGGACTATACATTGCTGTTGAAAGAGCACGGAAGTTTTGAGACGAAGAGGTGACCTTCTCTTGTAAGCGAGGTTTCCTCTTCGCTTTACTATACATCTAATTATAAGGCGGGAAATATGGGAAGCTATCCTTAACCTTCCGAAAGACACTGAGAGCTTTGATGCGCTGAATAACTTTGTACTCGACACTATTTTCATCCTTTACGACTGTTATTAGTACTACTTTCAGTGCCAGCAGAAAAGTCGAATCGACGTTAACGACTATCAACACCTTCCAGCCACCACTGCATTGGCTCTTAAGTGCGTCGTGGACTGCGTAGATGCGTACGACCCTTTTTTCAGACTTCTAGAGTTTCTCCCGGAACTCGTTTTCGCTGTTCTCCACATCGCTCCTAAAGACAGGCAGTTTGCACTGGAGGTGTCACTCACGCTTTTAGGTCGATTTTTCCCAGCTTTCAGTGCTCTGGGCTAAACAAATTGCTAGAAAACTGGGGCCCTGGCCTCTCCGGTTCACATGCTTATATCGAGCTCGCTATGAACCTGCTACGGACTTTCGATAGGCCGCTCTCGTTGCGGATTATTGATGCCGGGACCGCTTGTCAGGTGGAATGGCCTTAAAAATTCCTCTGGTTGGTTATCTATTTTTATATGCGCCTGTAGGGTCATTTTAGTGGGTATTTAAAGCGAATGTTTCTCGACAACTTCCACGAAAAGCAGTTCTACCGGCTTTGGGACCACTTGGTTGGGTCTGTGGTAGACTCCAGTAAGCACACTCCGTTTATTGATGCTTTACAGCTATTGGAGGATCCCGTGTTTGTATTATACGTTGCTGTTGCTGTGGTTCATGTTTTTCGAAAGTATCTGTTAACTACGTCTCCCGAGAATCTTGAGGTGCACTGATTTTTATAGCCATACTCAACTTAGCAGCCACTATTCCATTGTCAGAGGTTTTTTAGCGCGTGCTACGATTCAAGTTTGGATAAGATTTTGAAGATCGCTTACGAAATCTATCAACGGTACCCGCTACGCCCCTTAGGGTTTCACCCATTAAGAAAGGTTTATGCTTCTTCGTTCTTTTAAAAATAAGTGGTTCATTTTCAAAGCTAAAGGGTTATGCAAAACGATCGCCGCGCATGACGACAGGTACAGAGGATGCCGTTGTGCGTGCTTAAATAGACTAGTTTAACTGTTGGCTTGCGCTGCAGAAGTGGGCCCCCCTTTGTTTTCCGTAAAAAACGAAAGTCTTTCTAAAAGACACTTTCATGGAGAGTCGGCTAGCCCGTGCGCTTTTGAGAATTTCAGTACGCAACCGCCGAAGGGAGTCAAGATCAATGAAGATTCGTGTTCAACGGACCTCGAAGCGGCACCAACACCCACTCCAAGCTCCCTAGAGGACAGCCTCTCTTTGGAAAACTGTCAGGAGGCTTTACTGATTCGGATGCTACATAGAAGATTTCAACACTCCATTGAAGACGCCGTTTACGTTCAAAAAGATTTAGACTGGAATATAAGAAAATTATTTGCTAAACTTTATAAGCGCGAGAAAGAAACCCTTTTACGTAATTTTTTTTGTTTTTTTAAACATAAGTCATTAATTTCTCAATCTTGTTAAAAGTTTTTGATGACTTAAAACTTTTGAGAAAACAAAAATACAAATTTAGTCAAAAAACAAGCCCGTCGCTCATCGATAAGCATCAACATAGTGACACTAAAAAGCAGAAGACTATAAGCGGTTTGAATAAAGATAAAGTTCTATTCCAACTCTTAGAGTTATGTGATGAACAACAACTACAAGAGATACTGCGATTAAATAATTTCCAAAAGAGAAATCACACCTTTTTTTCGGGCAGTATTCACAATAGTTGTGAAGAGAGCAACAACAACATAACTGCTAAGTCAATTGAAACAATATATTCAAAGGGAAATAGTAGTAACTCTCAATTGTGTGAAGAGAGCACCAACAGTAATAACGATAATTCAATGGAAACAAGATTTTTAAAGGGAAACAGTGGTGATTCTCAATTGTTGGTTCAAGATAATTTAATTTCAACGAGAGCGGAAGAGTCGAAAACTTCCTACTCCCATGACGACTTGTCTATTTTTGAGCAAACAGAAAAATTGAAAGCAGATGCCCAAGAGCTTTTAGTTAGATATGAAAATGTACTGAAAAACATGGTTACTGCAATTTCCACGCAGAAGAAAAAAGAAGGCTTTCAGTGTTCCGCGTATAGTAATATATCCCACAATTAAAAATTTATTATTTTATTTGTGTGCAAGAATTTCCCATTTGAAAGTAAAAACTTATAAGTTTACAGAGCAATAATAAAGATTTCAAGATAAGTTTTAATAATAAGTAAAAAATATTTAACTTGTTATTTAAGTCCCATATCTAGGGTTATGGGCATTTCTTAGTTCTAAATACTTTTTAACTTGATCATCAGAGAGTTGTTGTATTTTATGGTAATAAGTAGCGTTGAAGTAATGGAGTAAAGTCTTAGGATCAGTGTAAATTGCCTGTTATAAGACGAAATGAACTATGCCTTAAAATTTAATAAATAGAGGTTACAAGGTACGTACTACAAGCCCAGATAAATCGCAGTATTTTTTTTTGGGTTTAAGAGAAGGCAAGGCCCCTATTCTTAAAACTTTATACAGATAAGTTTATTTCAAAATTTCAAAATAAAGAAGTATATACAGTCCAAGTTATCGGGTTCCCCTTCAATAGTCTTTTCAAATAGTAGTATTTGTTTAAAATTTTTCTCTTTACTCCTTTTAAAATTTGGATTTTTAAAAGGCAATTCTGGCTCCACGGAAGGTTCTTGTTCTGACTATATAAGATTAAATATATATATATATAAGTTATTTATAGAGAAAGGTACAGCTTACTTTTATTGAAAATTTACTACTTTTTCTTCTCATTATTATGTCAATTTAATAGGCATAACAAAAAACTAACAATCAAATCGCAGTGCTATGATTTAGCAACAACTCCTCAAACCGTCAGAAAGCTCTCTTGGGGGTGGGCGGTTGAGAGGTTTGTCATCGATATCTAGCGTTACTAAAATTTAAGAGGGTTGAGTTTGGGCTCCTCTCTCCTGGGCGAGGAACTCATAATCGGAAAGGTCTGGCTGACAGTAGCGCTGACCACTGTCTCCAGATGATCTCGGGTCTTGGGTAGAGGTTTTCCATCACACTAGACCGAATGGCGGGAGCCCGGGTTCCGATATTTTCTACTTTCCAGCCCTTTGGACAGTCATCTAAAGGGTACACTGGAGGGCACTCGCGCTCTAACCTCTGCAGTAGAGGGATTCAGGTTAAGCGGTTTAAGGACTTAGTAGGTAGACCGGCCATAGAATGCCAGCGCTTAAAAAAAATGAGGACGAGGTTGAATACAGCTATTGAATGCCAAAAAAAAGAGACGCGCCGGTGAAATCGAACCCCCGACTTTAAGTTTGCTCGCTGAGCTACAGTGACAACTCTCAATGCTGGTATGTTAAAATAAGTTAGCTTGTTACAAATAGCCGCTAATACCTCTCTTTCGAAGGTATATTATGACTTATAACATTGCCCTGAAGAACTGGGGGGTGATAAAAACATATCGGGCTTGGGTCTTCATCATATGGGGACCAGAAACTAGAGCCCAAGGTATTCTTATAAACAATGACAAACATTGCTACTAACTAAGCCTCCAGGCTATTGACCCCCGTTATTGGCAGGAGTTTGTTTTATCCTTATTTTTTTCTCAAATAATTGCAACGACACACTACGGCCAGGATTGGTTGAGGGAACAACTTTAAAGAAGAAATGCCCCTTTCGACTGGGCATTAATTTGTCCAGCACTGTGGAAACAATAGCTAGCCCACGAGGGAAATCCTCTGTCCATGTTATATATTAATTTTTTTTATAAACTGGCATCTAAGGTTAGTCTTCCGAAGGACTTAACTGCTTAACTTGTTATTCCTTTCTTAAGGAGAGTTGAGGCAAGAATACCCAACGTTGTTCTTTCCCAGAGGATAATAACTATCCCTAAGCTTCTGAAACATAAAAATTTCTGTCTCGGACTTTGATCATTTGGCTTACTGTGAAGGAACCGGCCACCCTGAATATTAGGTTCGTCATCTTTAAAGGCCCTGAACTTAAGTTGCTGCTAGTTAGATCTCCTCGGTCATCAGCTCCTCACTGAAGAATAAATTGATTTTCTTTATAAAGTTAATTTATTAGATGTGATTAGGTCACAATAAGTTAAGTTCCCAAAATTTGTTATAGTACATTAAATTCTTTTTAATTCTTTTATTTAATTGGTTTACTGCATTTTTACATCAAGATAACTATTCGCTTAACATTTGATATAAAGACATCGCCTAATCCCTTTTGTATGTTAACGAGAGAAAGACTAAAATTAGCGAGGTTTAGTAGTCGATGCTTAGTCAAATGTATTGGTGAAATAGTTTTTTTTTAATGTGGGGACGGGGTTTTCATTTTCTCACAAATTTGCCCCTTTATCGACGGATTAATTTGATAATTTTTTAATGTCCGCCGTAGGTCAAATATCGTGAGACCGTCATACGGGGATTGAGAGTTGCTCAGCGGATTAGAGCATTAGAGCATAATTAAGATCGTGGGTTCGAATCCTACCGAGTCGACTTTCTTTTTCGGTTACTGATGTTTGCGTATATTTATATTTCGCCCTCATAAATTCTAATGAGTGCTACGAGAGTTGGACGTTTCTAAATCGTGTGCGTTAAGTTCGCATGGAATTAACGTAATATTGCAACGTCCAGAGTATCTAAAGCGCTAAGCTAAAGTTTGATATATAAAATCTCTGCCTATCCCTTGCCGTAAAGTGCCTTATTTAGCTAAGTACGGGGCTTTAATAACATCATGAAATTTTCATTTAAGTCAGTTTTTATGTGATATCATAAAAACCGAATTGCTCTTGTAGTATATTGTACCAATAATAAATCACTTTTAGGGAGGAGAGCGGAATCTCTTTAATATAACAAAGACAGATTCATGAAACCTAATTCGTGAGTCTGCAAAAAAGATAAACCACCCTGGCTTTATACGTTTTATGCCCCTTCTTGAAAAAATTTGTGTTGCCTCATAAGGGCGTCCGCGTTACGTTTTACCACCATCCTTGCGCCTTCGCATTTATCGCTTGGGGCCACTTTGCCCCGGGTGATTCAACTACGCTTACAGTTAGCTCCCACCCGAAGATGTCAACGGGCTTTAGGGGCGCATTTCGTTATCTTCAGTTTGTTGAAGCTTCTCCATCTTAGCAAGCAACTAGACCACAATTTCTTCTTGCGTTTACGATAGTTCCCGACATTGTTCCCTACGTTTTATTTGAATTGGACATCATAGTAAACTAAAAACTTGCACTCTATGGTTTTTGTGAAAGTTTTTACCTGGAGCCTGAAGTGTTCCTTCGCCAGCAAAGCCAATTCAACATATACTAATCGTTTTTTGATAACTTTGCTTTAGGGGTTGATTGTACCTTTTTTGCGGTTCTATAAATTTATTTTTTAGTCTTAAGTTCTTATGTTAATGTCACGTTCACCTTGTCTTACCAACAATATTGCGTCACTGGGCTTTTACAGGGATTTTAAAGTATTTATGTAATTTTTCAAAATACTAAGTTATATATAAATTTATTGTCCCTTGTGCTTCATGTTACAGGCACAAAGGATATTTTTGTCGTACTAGTTTATTTCTCACTGTTCTTGAATAAGAGTACATACAAGTCACATCCTATATAATAAAGTGGATTTTTTTACTTATAGTTATTATTTTCTCAAAAAATGGTTAATTAAACCGCATTCTTATTTTATAGGTTATAATCTTAAATACTGTTTTTAATACCTTTTTATAGTTAATATGCGCAGTATTTAAAATAATTTAATCTATGAGATTCTTTTAACTATTTTTGCATATGCTTTTCCTGTTCGCACATTCTCATATATTTTAGGTTATACTTTTTTCAATTCTACCTTAAGTTTTAAATATTTTCGATAAAAGCTTACATTAATAGCTGATTTTGTATTCACCAATTATTAATTTTTAGTTGCTCAAGTGTTGCGAACTCGTTAAAATAGCTTGGGGCATAATTGGTTGACATCATGGAGCCCTCTAACTCCTATTAAACATTTTATTTCGCGTTACAGCTTGATACCTTTATATATTGTATCCCTCCTCCTTTTGAGGTGGGGCGGCCACTTCTAAGCGTGGTGGTAGTCTAAAAACGAAGGGCCAAGAGCCACTGGGCGAGCTCAGTTACGATCAATGGAGCGGCGCACACTCTAGCCGTTCAAGGGACGTGCTCTGAGTTTGTTATATTTAGAGTTAATATTGACAAGGCTAAGAAAATTGTGTATTTTTTAAACGTAGAGGCATTATGAGAAATTTTTAGCTAACAAAAATCTTAATTTTATGGCGAAACTTTTTAATAAAAAATTCGTTGGGCTCAACTATCAATTTTGTGTTAAAAATCGTCTTATATAAGCTTATAATATAAAAATTACGCTACAAAATACAATAAACACTATACTTAAAAGCTTAAAGATGGAGATAAAACCGAAAGGCATCAAGCAGACTTACAAAAGTTCTATTAAAGAGGATTGACAAATTAATAAAAGAGATGTAAAGCCTACTCTATCTAATTTTCAGTTTTTGTCAGTTTTAAAAGGAGTTCTTTCGAACCGTGCGTCTCTAACTTATCATAAGTTGGTTAGCTATGGCAAGCTGCGCCTTTCCTAAGTAGCATGAAACTCTCAACTAAGAGCTTCAGTCAGGAAGGTACCATAATCACGATTCTAGGTTTGTTAAAGTTTATATAAACGATACTTGACTGTAATCGCAGCAGGTAAGAGTATTCGGTTTGAATAGTTAGAACCTTGGCGACTGCGTAGGTTGGTGCTATTAATGGTTGACCCGACCAAAGATGAAAATTCGTCCGAACGGTTATCCATCCAAGGATGACAATCTTCCGAGCGACTTAGATCGAAACCATCGGTAACCCTCGAGAGCTAACGTTAAAGTTAGACACGAATTTTAATAGAGATGTAAAGCCTACAAGCTTAAAAAAACAAAAGTAAGTTAAGTTAAAGTAGAAACAAATAATTATATATTTAATTTTTTACATAGAAGATTAAAAAAATTTTAAAGTAGAACCAATTTTAAGTAGATTTTTTTGGGACTGTAGAAGTTTAGAGATTCCCTTACAGCTCGAAGGAATATATATCAGCTAAGGAACAAAACCCTATTGGAGAAAGGACAGGAAGGTTTATACAGAATCTTGCGGTATACAGCTACGATAAGAGACTCATTAAACGCAGAAGAAACAAATAGTCTCCAAAGACCATGTGTTAAAACATAAAGGATAACTCAGTATAACACACAAGATGTTTAGCAAAATGTACTTGCAAAGGCCAAAAGAGCAAGGCAATAAGATATTGAGTCAACTTATACTTCATGTATTTAACTTAAATACTGATCTGCTTAAACTATAAAGCAAAATATAGTTAACGTAAAATACTAAAGAATAATCCCTACAACGTACTATCAGTTATAATTAATAAAGAACAGGTACTGTAGTATTGCTTAGTTACTTAAAGCAGTTTACCAACTTTGAGAAAAACCAATACATACACTTACTTTAGTTCGGCTTGAGATATTGGTATACCATAATAGGGGTTTACCAACGAGTGTACCGAACATAAAATATCTAATAAAACTTTAGTAAGGTAAAAAACTATTTTATTATTATATCAAAAATTTTTAAGCGTCCACTGGAACTTTCCGTACATTCAACCATTTTTGCAATAAATTAATTTCAAAAAAAATCAAAGCTATTGGGGCTTTATCCTATACGCACAACCTATGCTCAACAGCATTTCATTACATATATTATAATTTATTAATATTATATATAAGTATACCGCTTGTAAGTTTAGCTTTTCCACCTTTAGGTTGACAAAGGACTTGCGAGCACTCTGAACACACAACAACGTGATCCGAATGGGAAAAAACGGTGGTCAATGCAAAGCAGCCTTTAAATATATACTTAGATTAAAAATATTTTCCATAGACTCTACTAAACACAATAGAAATATAAACATAAAAAAGTCAGATAGGAGCGAAAGACTGTCATAAAAAGTCTACATAAGTAATTCAGTTGAACTATGCACCATTAAGTCATCACAAAATAAAAACACAGTTTTAAAGAAACCTTGACATTTAACATCCATAAAATAAGAATTAGGACTTTGCACAAGGCGCTTTAATTTGTGCCGCTGCTTCTCAGCTTTTGGTTCAGGGTGGAGCAAGTCTCTGGCGAGCTACAGTGAGCAAAGAAATATTGGTTTTAAATAAGAAGTAAGACTATTTCATAATCGAAGTAATTAAAACTAAAAAATGCAGCAAGGTAGAGAAAAGCTTAATGCAACAAAAAGATGAACCGGCATAGAGGGTAAAGAACTCCAAAAAAAGGGAAAAAGAAGAGGGGACGGGGCCCCAAATAATTCTGTGAATTTATACCGAAAAATGACGCCAACTGCATTACCACGTGAGTTATGTAGTTTCACATGTTACCTTCGAAATTACCTTTTATCTCAAATGTTTTAGATGGTTAGTTGAAAGACTAAGTTATAGTTTAAATGTCTCTTTTATAAAGTTATGCCCTTTTTTTACAGAAATATTATACTTTTATATATTAATACGAGAGAATTAATTACTATCTACTAAAAACAATTTTATGATTACAACAAATTTTGGTTTTTTGGTGCAAGTTTCGCGAAAGCATAAGCAGATGTTCTAATAATTATTTTCAAGTTTTGTAGATTTATAATACTAATATAATGGAGGAAATGTTTTAGGTTACCCTTATATGATTTCTATAGTTTAGTGTGCATTTCAACTTTTTCTAGTTTGCTTGCCTTCCCTCCTTTTTATAATAGATTTTAGAGCTTGCTTTACTACTGCGTTTATTAAGCTAATTTTGGTATTAATCTTACTATAACATGTTTACCATAAATCTCTCTAGTGGTGAACTTAATTAGTTTGAAACCAATGAATTGTAGGTAAACTTCACACACAAATTTTGTAACAGTTTTCTAATTAAAAATTTACAATAGGAAATAATTTTTTTTTGAACCATGACGCATGTGAGCTTTTAATGTGATAAACACTTTATTTAAGCTTTTATTAGATTTTACATAAGCTAAGTAGAAGTAATCAAAGTTGCATGTGCCTCTCAATTTCTTCGTCATCCATAGGCACGTCTATCATTTGTGAGTTGGTACACCTACATATTTCTTCTAAATCTTCTTTACTCTTTTGATCGTACACAAAATTGATAGCAAGTCCTTGTTTATATAAAAATTTTTTCTAAAAATAAAACAAAACATTACTATTTTTACCTCTTCTGCCAAAACGACCACAACGGCCGATCCGGTGAACATAATTTTCAGGATCCGGTTTTCGAAGTTCATAATCCCAAGGAATGTCGTAATTAATAACAACATTGACCTAATAAAAATTGCTACATTGAATAATAAAAGTTAATTATTAAATAAACCGACATGCTCAACATCTATGCCACGGGCCAGCAAATTCGTACTAATCAACACGCGCGTTTGTCCTTAAAAGCGCTTAAGAATCAAAAATAAAAACGTAAAAGTATCATATATCAACTACCCGTGCGAAATTGCTGCATCACACGCTTTCGTTCGAGGCCCTCAAGTTTGCCGTAGATCACAGAAACCGCGTGGCCTTCTTCTGACATGCGCCGCGCTAGAGACTGTGCTGCCTCAGTGGTCTGTTGTAGAAAAACAATAAAGCAAAAAAAAGTATTGTATTTTCCCGCGTGCCTTACGTTGACAAATATAATCACGCTGCCAAGTGTAAGACATTCATACAAAATCTTTAGCGCCTGAAATCTTCCGTTGGACGATCCACAATCCATGCGGTACTGTCTTATTTTTTTTACTGTAATTTCCTACAAAAAGAGGTTTAAAAATAATTAAAATATCTTTAAGTTAATATAACTTTAGGCTTTAGAAGCACGCGGTTTGCGGATTTTCCAACGACATCTGAAGCGAACTCGCAAACCTCTTCACCAAAAGTTGCGGAAAAAAGCAGCACCTGCTGAAGACGTGTACATTTGCTATATTGAACAATTATCAATAAAAACAAGTAACCAGATAAGCTCAAGGAACCTTTTAATTTTCATTGAGTCAATTCTAGAGGATCCTATTAACATCTGATCCGCCTCATCAAAGACAAGGATAATTATTTTAGATGGATCAAAAAATTTTTTGCTAATCCACATTTGAATAGTTCCAGCGGTCCCTATAATAACTTGCTCTCGAACTTTGTGGTCTCTAGGGACTAAAGTATTATGTTTCAGGCGAAGTTCCGGTAGAAGAAGTAGAAAAAAGTCACGTCTAGAAACTGAAGGAAGGGCGAGAACACTTTGAACCGTTAGATACTTCGCCATCATTTTTATTACGTTGTATGTTTGATCAGTTAGTTCTCGGGTAGGACTAACGCAAATGGCCTGGTTCATTGTAAACAATAATAAAAAGCTACCACCAAAATGAGCTAAAAGATTTATAGTGTTATTGTATTTTACTTAGTTTTAATAAATACCCACCTGCGGGTAAGAGGCATCCGTGACTCTTGTCAATATACCCAAACAAAAGGCGGCCGTCTTCCCTGTCCCGGATTGTGACTGCGCTATTAAGTTTCGTGGTCTTAAGATTTGAGTAACAAATAATAACATTTAGAAAAAAGTAAAAAAGTACTTACGGATTAGAAGTTAACATGGGAAGAGTAGTTTCCTGTATGTAAGATGGCTTAAAATAGCCCATGGCATCTAGGCCTTTTATTAAGTTCTTGGGCCTTGTTAAAAAGGGTAATACTTCGGTAAACAAATAAAACGATTATATTAGTACAGATTTAATTCCTTAAAGTCGGAGCACTTAGAGTAGAGAGGTGAATTCGGATCATTAATTTCTACCTGAATTTCGGTATCCCAGTTGATATTACCACCTAACATACATTGAAAAAGCGGTGATATACACAAACTATGAATCTTTACAACCTACGTTACTACCTTGCCTTAAATTTATTTTTTCGCCAATTTGAGCTTCAATTTCTAAAGCATTAATTGCTCTAGTGACATCATCCTCTTCTAATTCGTCATACTTTTTTATAAATAATATATTATTGCCTATGGAAAGCCCATCTATTATTGCAGCAACTTACTTCTCGTCTAGAAGAAGGGCTCCTACATGAAGTATGGTCAAAATTCTTGGTTGAGCTCGAACTTTTGGAATGAGTGTAATGCTCTCTCTCATCGGAAAATCTTTCCGGGCCTTTTCCCGCTCCTGAAGGTTGCATACTCAATTAGTTTTCGCTCATTAGAATACAAATGAGTTAATTTTTCTAACGCTCATTTGCATTTGCTACAGCAGCGCGTGACCTTTGCATACAATATTGGGTAAAGCCTATCAAAATCTGCTGTGTGGGCAAACGTACACATAGCCATCAAGTTCAAAAAGTGGAAAGGTTCACCAACAAGCGAATTCGCGGACATTAATTGTGCGTTAATGGCAACTCACACATCTGGCTAATAAATTATGTTACATGGTATGACTCGTTTATTTCTCTTTTCGTGGCGAATGTATAGATGTGGACGTACTCTACATTAATAAAAACGAAAAATTTTAGTTTTATCTAATTTTTAATTTTTTAAACTAACAGGCCAGATAAATCACTACATGAACATTTATTCGTCCATCAATTATAAGTTTATAAAATAATATTTATAATCTTTAAGGTAGAGGCGGGTTTATGATTGGATTAAGTGTAATGTTTAAAAAATCGACCCCTGGATCACTTCATATGAGCTTAGGCTCCTTGAGTTCTGTGGCTTTGATTAGCTAATTATAGCCCTAATAGGTTGTATTAACATATGCAGAAGGCGTGTTACTATCTAAGTATAGGAACAGAGGATTCCTTAAGGATTGATACTCCGCAGAAAAGAATGTTTAGTAAAATTAAAAGTTAGAGGGTAGTACACCTAGGCGAGGCCAGCGGATTTCTTTGAAAGGAAATAATTATTAGGCACTCTTACTAGGTCAGCTGGTCGAAATGCGAGGTGTTTGAATATTAAAAAAATAAACGTTAAAAATGGTGGATTAGGCGATACAGTTATATATGGGAGACTGCTTGCAATCTTTAGCATCTAATTGAAATTATTTTTAAAAACTGATAACCTTGTTAACTCGCAAAAGAAAATGAACGAAGAAATGGGAAAAAAGCGCGTTTAGGTTTTAAAGCATACGCTGAAACCTAAGGGTAAAGTATAGTTACTCAATTTTTTTAAACTTTGAATTGCTTTGTTAAACCGCTCTAAAAACTTTAAAAAAAAAGTGTAAAATTAGTTTAGCAGAAGGGAAGGTAAGGTTTTAAAGTATACATTTACACACACATGAAAATAAATACGAATCACATAGAATAATTTAAGTTATTAGCGAAACTAAGCAGTTTACGCTTTGTTAACCAAGAGCATCTGCGAACTGAACATCCCAAGCGATTTGACCAGGAGCAACGCTGACTGACCCCTTACCCCAAAGTTTACAGTCAAAAAGCGGTCGTCTCCCCTGGGGAAGACTTTTATATACAATTAGTGTGATAATAAAAACATTAATATTGCAGGATTTTAATATACATTTTAGAATGATAATAAAAACATTAATAATTGCGTCATGTATGTATAATGAATTCAGTTTCACTTTATAAATTTTTTTCTTGCAATTTTGTACTGAAATATTAGAAGGACAAGTTAATTTGTACATGTTAGAAGATAAATTTTTTATTGTTTTTTTTAAAATGACTGATTTACTGGTTACTAATTGGTTTATCACGAATCATTTTTCCTTTATTTCTAGTGTCTCTAGTTGTTTTGATTTTCCTCAACTCCAATTTAAATTTCGACTGATTTTTTTAAATCCCGACTTAAGTTGATTACTTAAATCCCGTAACTATATATATATATATATATAATTTTCTTTGTCAAAAATTAACATCATAAAAGAAAAAAGCACAATTTACCATAGTTAGGGCACGATCCCTTACTAAAACGATGGGCGTCCACTTTTTGTCGTGGAGGAAAATCTAACAATTATATTGTAGAATATAAACCAAAAATTAAAACTATTTAACTTCATGCATAGATGCTTTTATATAATTAAAAAGTTTTACATTGTTTCCTTCTCACTTAATTCTAAGTATAGTGCTTGGTTTGCGTTTTGAAACGATAGTTATAAATTATAGCTATTACGGTACCCCTCATTATAATCGTAACCTAACTCGAAGGAGGTTGGCGATTTCCTGACGTTAATGTCTACCTTAAGAAATAAGCTTTTTTAATATTCCGCGTAACTTTGATGCTTCGGGAATGTTCAATCCTCTTTTTTTTGGCACTTTTAAGGAGACATATTCTGTCTACCCGGTTGCAATGATGATAAAGCAAAGTTCTTCTAAAATTGAGGAGATGGAGCGCAAAGGATACAGTTATAATTCTAATGATTTTGCGGAGTATCAATTGCGTACTCAATATGTGTTATTTCCAGTTGTTATGCCACCTTCAGCCCTTTCCAAACTTGCTCACCTTGAGGTAGAACTTCCGATGGTTTTTAAAATAAAGAATGTTGAGAAAAACAGGTGCACACATTCCGGCGTTATAGAATTTATAGCGGAAGAGGGGAAGATTTTCATGCCTTACTGGGTTTGTTTAAGTCCAGTTTACTTTATAAAATACTCTTATTTTGGTAAAATTCTGTAGTACACAGCTTGTAGTTATCCTTTAATTTTATATACTTATCCTTTTATCTGACAAAGATGATGGAAAACCTTCTTTTAGACGTCGGAGAAATTGCAACCGTTTCTAATGTGGCATTGCCTCCGGGGACTTATGCTAAGTTTGAGCCTCAAAGCTTAGATTTCTTAGAGATTGCTAATCCCAAGGCAGTGTTAGCTATATTTCCGTTCAGTAATTTACAGTATTGCTTGATTTACCACTTTTATCTTTACAAAGTTTGGAGAAAAGCCTCAGGTCCTTTTCTTGTTTGTCTCAAGGGGATCTCATCGCTTTGCACTATAATAATAGGGTTTACAATGTGAAGATCTTAGAGGTGTTCCCGCTTATCTTTCTGCTTACACATAATTTAGTCAATCCATTAAATTGCAGACCAAACCCAAGGACGCTGTTAAGATTATAGAGTGCGATCTTCAGGTAGAATTTTCAGAGCCTCATGGTTTTCAGAGAGAAACTGAGACACCCAAATTGGTTGATCCGCCTCAAATAGTTAGCGAGCCCAGCGAAGGAAACGTGTTTAAGGGTACTGGCCGTCGCCTCGGTTAACACTGAATCTTTTATATTATGTTTTCTCCTCTACTTTTTGATGACCACTTAAACTTTCAAAGACGGAAAGACTAAAGTGAAAAAGGCAAATCTTTGCCTGACGAAAACCATCTTGCCCTCTTCAGCTTCGTACTATTATTCTTACTAGTTTCCTCTTTTACAGATCTTTCTGCTGATCTTTAACTCTCTATAGAAAACCAAAAACTAACATTTTAAAGTATAAGAAAGGTCGTTTAATCTTTTATCCTTATGAAGAAATTATTGCTGTTAATTTACTTAAAGAAACTACAGAAACCGTAAAACTACATAATTATTTTTTGTACATGCCTCATAAATTTATCTATAAAGGAAAATTCTATATTTGAAGGCATCGGCAGAAAATTGATTTGAATTTGTCGTGCCAATACCTTTTATTAAAAGAGGATGTTTCTTGTAAATCATATTAAGAAGGGATAAACACTGTTAATGTTACTGACTTCTAAAATTACAATTTTTAAACTTTTAAGCGGTAAAGACTTGCGTCGTTAATGTAATAAAGTCTCTAACTTTACTTGTTAATCTTTATTTTAAAAAAACTATAATTGTAGGGGTTCTTTAACTTTATTTTTATATTTTTTACCTTATTCAGCTCGCCACATTATATTTAATTATTAAATGGGCTCTTTAGCCGCTGTATATATCGACAAAAATCTTGTAAATAATTCAACTTAACGACAACAACGATAGTAATTGGAAGGTTAAACTAAACTAATAAAACACGTGTGGATGTGAAACATACGTTACCTTCACGTTAATAATAAAAAAAAAGATTCCCAATAGTCTGATTGTCTTTAACATATGCTAGTAACAAGCGTTTTAAAGATCTACTAAAGAGAATTTCACCAAAACGGTTTGATTTTGTTTTAAATTTTCTGGAAAATTATTTACCATACTTTATTTATAAAGACTACAGTTTGGATGACTGAAATTTAAATTAAAAAAAGGTTTTCAGTTTACAAGAAAAAGGGATGGAATATCATACTAATTTATTTGCTTACAATTAAAAAATAAGAAATTAAAAAGACTAAAAAACCAAAACTTTATAACGCGAGTACCTTTTCTAAATAAACAATACCACAATACAATCTTTACTTCAAATAAATGGAAAGTTGTAAGGCTATAAAACTTATCAATTTTTACTAAATGACTCAAATTAGTAATTTTGGTTATAATTTTTAAAAAAAAGGAAGATGTTGTCTTCTTAATATACGTAAGCTGCATGCGTTGAAACAAAAAATAAAGGTCGCTCAGCTACGGGGCCTAAGCTTTTAAAAATTTGCGCTGACAATTTTCCAAATACTGTGACCCTACCAAAACATTAAAAACAATCAACTTATAAATCATTTTTCAGTAGTTGAGCCGCAAGCAAATCCCCTTAAGTCATAAAAGTTAGAAGGCTCGAACGACAGGAGGTGTGGCGTAAGGCACAATATTTTTGTAATTTATGTTGTGTGACAGCCCCACGTGACCACCCCGCTTGCATGCTGCTCTCTGTAGGCTTTTTTAAATTAAAAATTAATCCTCTTAGCTTTTTTTAACCGTCCGGTGATCTTTCCTCCTTCAAGAATGGTTGTTCTATACAGTTGATTACGTTTATAGCGTCTTTTATTAATTTGTTGATATTTTTTACTTTTTTTAATTCTACTTGTAGTATCATATTATATTTTTATTTACATTTGTTTTTATGTCATTTAAAAGATTAATTTTTTTTTGATTAAAGCCGAAATCTGCTACTGTGACGGCTAAAACTAATAAAAATAAAAATTTGAATGCTGCTTCGGTTGCCAAGAAGCATAAAGGTTCTGTCAGTAGTTTTAAGGCAGCTGCTTCAAAAAACAAGACAATAGTGAAATCCAAAGCAACTTCCCTCGAAAACAAGGCTAAAAGTCTTTCCAAAGTTTCTAGTCAAAGTGCACTATATCAGAATAGCACCGAAGATCCCAAAACAACAGAAAAAAGAAAGAAAACTAAGAATCCACTGTTTGTTAAACGCCCTAGAAATTTTGGTATTGGGCAAGATATTCAACCACGTCGTGATTTAACCCGTTTTGTTAAATGGCCGAAGTATATCCGATTGCAAAGACAGAAGGCAATACTTTTGCAGCGCTTAAAAGTTCCACCTTCACTTAATCAATTTAATAAAACGTTGGATAAGCATACGGGTATTTACACATACATACCCTTATTTTACCTTTTATTTTATTTATTAGTTTATTTACTCAAGCTGCTGAGCTATTTAAGTTTGCAGCGAAGTACCGACCTGAAACGAAGCATCAGAAGAAACAGCGTTTGCTTGAAGCGGCTCAAGCTAAAGTCGGAAATAAGCCTATTTCTATGAAAAAGCCTGTAGTACTAAAGAAAGGCGTTAACCACATAACCGCTCTTGTTGAACAAAAGAAGGCTAAACTTGTTATGATTGCTCACGATGTAGATCCTATAGAGATAGTTGTTTGGCTGCCCGCTCTCTGCCGCAAGTTTGGCGTCCCCTATTGTATAGTTAAGGGAAAAGCCCGACTTGGCTCTCTTGTGCATCTTAAGACGGCCACAGCTCTTGCCGTTACTGACGTTCATGAAGAGGACAAGGATGCTTTCAGCAAACTTGTTCAAGCTATTAATGCTAAGTTTACGGAAAAATGGAACGAGTATCGTAAGACTTGGGGTGGTGAAGTTATGGGTCAGAAGTCTCGTGATGCTGCTGCTAAACTTCAGAAGCTTAAAGCTCTTGAACGTTCTGCAAAGACCCGCAAGTTAAAAGCTGTTGCTTAGCGTGCTAGTCTATAGTAGTATAATAAAGTGTACTTTTCTTGTCTCCTTTACTTTGGCAAATTGCTACGTTGCGAGTATTTTTAAATTTACCTTTTGTTTACCTTCGAATTACAGGTTACATTATACGTTCGTGAGAACTATTAATGGACGCTTTATAAAGCACTACTTGTCCACATATAAACTTGTCTTTATTTAATTTTATTAAGCTAGCGTTTTAGGTGTGCTTCAAATAGGCAACTAGATAGATATATAGAGTATATTTTATCGACAATTTTTGAAACACACAAGGGGGTATTAGAAGGAAGAAATGTAGCACTTCTTCCGTATTTATGTTTTTTAAGTTGTATTAATATCTTATTTAGTGTGTTAATATCAATAGAAGCAAAATTCCATTGTCGTCGAGACTTCGAGAAGAAGCAAAATATCAGCAGTTAAGTCCAATATGGTAGGTTATTTACTCACTCTTGAGCTTAATAGCAGTGCTTACGAAAAGGTACTCATGATAAGGCGAAAGGCATAATCTATACCTCCATGGTTACCTTTTCTCAGGTCGAGGATCACTAGATTTACACCACTCCAAAAAAATGGAGGCCCACTAGTAAATTAATGTAAAGTACGGTCGACCTCGCTTATAACGAACTCCAGGGGACCTCTATTTGTCATAACCGAGGTTCGTTTAATCCGGGATCTCTAAAAACGGAAAATTTTGCAAATAAAAAGGTAGATCTTAAAAAAAAGAATTTCATTATAAACGTGTTTAGATAGATTATTCGGAAAAAATTAGGTTTAATCGGTTATCGACTTTTGTTTCAAAGAATTCTTGACAAACACTCAGTTTAAAAATGGACTTGGACCGAAAAATATGGTTCGCTATAATTGAGGGTTCGTTTGGACGAGTTCGCCTGTATATAAATTAAACGGGGTTAAGGTTTGATCACGCAATTGTGGGGGCTGCACTTCATTCATTTGCGCACAAACTATTTACTAGGCGTAGATCTGACTTGAAAAAAGATGCGTTTTTGGATGTAAATTCTTCAATTATAACTATTCTGCTGGAATAAACCATTTAACGTAGATTACTTTCTTAAATTGGACACATTTTGGCTATAAAATTTTTAACCCAAGTTCACTTAATGTCGTATACAGCAGGAATATTTTCTTTAGAGTTTTTTTTGAGCTGATTTTATTCATGAAATAAATGATTACGACTCACTATGTTTCTAGCCAGCCTCATTCTACTGCTGACGCCAATATTGGAGTCAACTTGGAGATCGCTTCCAAGCAAAGAATTTGGCACCTACGACAACTCGCCGCTATATTTTGAACCTTCTTTCCGCATTATAGGCACCCAAAATGACTTTGCAGTTGAAATTATTGTGGTAAACGTACCAGAGTCAGTGAGGATAGTGCTACAGAAACTGAATATTGTAAATCTGGAAATATTATTAAAGTCAAACTCTAAACTAATGCTAATAATATTTCAACGCCAGAAACTTTTAAGGAAGCGATAGGTAAGTGATTACATATTTGTAGTGGTTGCGAGCGGAATTCGTTTTCATTCCAAACTGGCACCAAGGTTTCCATCGTATTGCCAAGAGACAAAAAAAAGTCGGTTGCAATTAGTCTCCAGAGTGAAAGTAGTTTCGGGAGACAGTGTTATTAAGGTCTAGGCCCGAAATTGTGCTGAAAGTTTTACTTAATTGAACGGAGGTGATTATTTTGGAACTTTGAGCTCTCTTGCATAGTTAAAAAATTGTTAAACTCTTCTTTTTGGGCGCCTCTATTAAAATGAGGTACTACAGTTTGAGGTAAACGGTACATGTTTTTAAAAGGAATGTTATTCGGAATGATATGCAATTACAACTAATAAAGAAAAATATATCACTAAACGTCATAAGCAGGTTTAACTTAAATGAACTAAGTCATTAAAAAAAATTTTCTTTATAGGTGACATAATAAAGCACCAGTAGACGTCCAGACGAAGAGCTCATCGGCTTCTATTCTACTTAGCTACTGTAACAAATACTGATACATCGTTAATTATCGGCAAATTAGCTGGAAAAAAAAGCTAACAGGCCTTTTATCTGATTTGGCTCTCAACTAAAAAAGTAGTGAGATAGTTTGGACTAAGCAATATAGCATCTACTATTGTAGACCGAGACGTTTTTTTAACCTAAAAAAAAAAAGGTACAAACTGTCTTATGATAACTGTAAGAAAAGAAACCACATATCACGGGCTGTTATTTTTTTTAAAAGAAGCGCCGGTGACTAAGTAGTCAAATTTTAACAATTACAGCTCTGGCTACAAAGGAGGTAGAAACCACTAACAAAGCCATACGGCCCGAGTCCTTACTAGAAAGTCATAGGCTAAGATGACGCCATCCACTTTTTGTGGATAATTAACCTGCAAATCGTGTATTAATCCATGGTTTTAATCCAGGGCACCTTAAAACAAAAAAAACATTGACCTTCGCTATTTTTTTCGCATACAAAAAAAGCTAAAAGATGGGACTATCCAGTTAAACTATGTTTCTATCTCCGCAATAACATATTAGCTTTCAAGTTGTATTTCCAAATTGTTTAATAATAGTTAGGCGTGTGTTGGGTAAGTAACTAGTATAGAACAAATTATTTTTCAAGTGCAACTCCAATGTGTAAGCTTGTAATGCATTGTTCTCATTGTTGCCCACATGTTTTTTTTGAGCCAGATCTATGTAATATTTTTTTGTAACATTAGACTTTGCACGTTTCGATTGTTGAACACGGTAATATGTGATGCCAAGTTCAACAGTTCTTATTACTTATGAGTCTATTTATTTGTCTTCTATTTTACCGGCCTACCTTCAAAGAAATTATTAGCCCATTCTTATATAATAAATTATTAGGTCTAGAAGAACCATAGTAGCATTCTATTACAAAATCACGATCTGTTAATATTTTTTTATAGCTATTAAAGTTTTCATGAAGTGTTAATAGAAATAAATACCTCTTTCTAGCAATTCTGTGTAATTAGTAATCCCTTGTAAAAACTTTTTTAAAAGAGTAGTTACATATTTTCTATATATAGGGACACTTGCTATCAGAGATGCCTTTTTTATGAATTTTTAGGATTTCTTCTTCACATCCGTTATAAATGTTAACAGTAAAAGTTTCAAAGTGCATTTTTATAGAAATATGAGCTCAAGAAATTTAATTTTCTTTTAGTATTAAAGGTAAGTGTTTGTACAAAGGCCACCTGAATTTTTAATGAATTTGGAGAGATAAATTTGTAACGACTTTAAATTTGTTTTCTCTTTCAGATATTATTTTGAGTTTTTAACTTACATCTATGAATATTATTAATATTAGTAGTAAAATATTTGCTGTTAAGAACTTCATTTCTATTAAAAAAAATACCATATAAGCATATCTGTAGAATTCTCCAGGTATTTCATTAATCGAAGACAGTTTAACTTTCTTTTGATTAATTTTTGTATAATTATTTAGTGATTTTTTCACTAAATAAATCTATATCTGAAATTTGGTTATTAACTAAGTTATCTTTTAAAAAGAAATATGATTAGAATATAACCCCTTTTCGTATAAGCTCAAGAACACCATTTTAAATTATTTTTACGTTTAATTCTTCAGTGTATATATCGTTCTGTAAGCAGGTTTTTACGTTGATTTTATTTTAAGTGTGTCAAAATTGTTTGGCAAAGGGTTTACAAAACATCTTGTTAATGTAAGTTGCGCGAAAAACCCCAATGCTGCAAGCGGTCAGTGGCCTTTTGAACATCGATAAAGAAAAGCCCGTGGGAAGTATTGAAGCCCCGAACTGTCGTTGTGCCATTACGTGACCTCATATTTTTAATCTGAATAGTTCAATAAATTTTTCCAACCGGGTGTAGTATAACAGTCTGGGTATTTTTGGCCATTGCTGAATAGTGCTTGTAAGTAGCAAACGACATCGCTGTATATGCGTATGCCCAGTTAATCGAAACAAATAAAAAATTTTTTTAATTTTCAGTGGATATGCCGTCAGGGTATGTCTTTTCTCGTGGAAGCGCAAGCGAGTTCATCGACCGTGTCCGACTTAATTAATTATTCACAAATGGTAGGGTGGTCAAGGAGTCTCTTGTATTTGTCCTCAGGGGTAACATAAATTGAAAGTTTGCACTAAATAGTGACGGTGGCCGGCAAAAGTGACTCATGATTTTCTGTCGCTTTCAGTCAATATAAAGCAATTTTAATTAAAAAAAAAAGGTCAAAAAAGATGATCATACTTCATGGGCCGCTTTAGATACCGTCCTGCAGTTCTAATCTCCAAGCAATTATTGTGAAGAGCAGTCAGTCCTATAACGATGCGTTTATGAAGACAACTTTAGCTTCGTCGGGGCTTTGTGCAGAGGCGATCAATGTATAAATAGGCTCTGGCAAATAAGTGACCAGGCAACTTCATGTCAACATGGGCAGCTGTTAGTGCATGTTTAGGGGATAACGCATTATCTAACGTAATCGAAGAGTCGAAGGATGGTGAGCAGCCGGTGGATCATAACATTTTGAATGGTTACAAAGTGTCTCAAACATTCTAAATCCTGAATTCGACTAGAATGTTCCGGAATAATAGGAAAAATTATAAGTTATCAATCCTACTAAATTAGCCCTCATCCCCTTTATGCTCTTCTTTTTTCGTTGTCTTTCATTACGTTATCAGTACCAATTTATATTTTCTTTTGCTCTTTACTTTACTTATTATAACGTTCTTATTTTTTTCTTTTCTTCTCTCTATACTATTTTATTTCTTTATTCTTAATATTCTTTATATTTTTGGAATCACACTTGAGTCAAGGTCCTTTGCTGAAAAACACTTCCCAACTTCGTTAATGGACAGGTGACATTAAATTATCCTTAACAATCCATGGAATACATGATTTATTTTTTCCACAAGAAAAAATTGAAGGGCCTTAGTTTCCTCTATATGAAAAACTAAGAATGGCTCTTGGGATTCTAACAATATA